ACTTTCCTTTGAAAACTCTGTTACCTCTTGGTTTCTGTAAGTCTGTCTCACACAAGGAGAGTAGAGCTTGGCTTCTCAGAGCAGTGCTTGGCAAGCACTGAGGCAGGAAACGCAGAAGGGAATGAGTCTGTCAGACTCATTTTCTTCTAGTTCAAATGTTTATTTCAGATTCGGGAGGAAGTGGAGTGGTTCCTTTCCATTTCCTCGTCTCTGGAACCAGTGAGTTGTATAAGGCTTAGAGAATAGCGCTCTACCACACGTCATACTTATGGGTTCTCAGATAGAGAAAGAGACTCTTTCCAGAAAACCCCCTTTTTGAACAGAGCAAAATGCATAGCTCCCCGAGCCCACTCAGGACCACCTCTTATGGTTTTAGCCTGGACCCTTGAGCAGGACAACAGAGCAATGCTGAGGACTCACCAACATCCTATACCTGCTCCTAAGCAGCAAGGGCCATGTCCCGTCTGACATTAGTCTGCAGCCCTGCCACATGGCACACCTGAGGCCACCACTCAGCAGGGGAGGTCTGAAATAATTTGTAAATGCCATAGTGGGAATATGGTCCCAAGCCCACTTTCTAAGTTCCTGAGACTTACTGTATCTGACACTGGGATTTCAGCAGCAGTACTTAAAATATACCTGTTTTAGTAATGAGTTGATTTCAACCTAAAAGACGCTGACTTTTCCGATCCACTCTTTGATTTCTCTAATTCTGTGTGTGTGTTTACGTGTGTTTCAAGTTATTTATCTCCCTGCACTCACCAGCTTGGCTCTGCAACTTGCTATATTGTCTATGTAATTGACACAGGTCATTTTAAAAACCAAATGGAGATCATCAGAAGCCAAACTAGAAAATCTTGTGGTAAGTTTACTATTAAACTCTAACAGATGTGCCTGACTCAAACTGTAGGCATTAGGACTGATGCATAATTTTAGATACAAATTACTTACTGAGAAAATTTATAGAATGAAAGCTTCTTCAGCAAAGGAGAGACCCTATGACATTTAACACAGATTATCCTGTAGTTTAGCAAGTGATAAAGAAGCCAAACATTGTAAGTGCATTAATTATGGTTAGTTTAGGAAAGTTTCCAGGACAGAGTGCTTGATCTAATTGTGCTGGTTTTGTCAAAGACTTTTAAAAGATAAAAATCTGACTCATTATCTCTTCATAGTTTAGATTTTTTGAGTTGTTTTATTGTTTGGTAGCTACTAATCACAGTTCATTCACTAAGATCTATGTGCACAAAATACATATCCTTAAGTGCAACAATATTTACTCTTACATATCCTCTAGTACAAACTAGTTTTTATATCTACCATATTTTGAATGAATTCCTGAAACTAATAAACCCTTGCATGTTAGAATTTCCTCCTGACATCCATTTATTATGAACCATGTGAGCTAACAGTGTATCAGAGACATTATGTTAGATACAATCACAATATTCACTTTAGAAACCAAACATAGTCAAAATATAAATTGCACTGCCAAATGATTTTTTAAAAATCCTCTGTATTAGTCATTAATTAATAAGGCATACCATTGTAAATACAGTAAAATAACCTGTCTTTTTAATCAAGAAAAACCAGGATGAAAGAAACAAAAAGGATAAAGAAACACTGTAAAGGTTATAGTGAGACAAACATTTCTACTTCAAAATATTTTCAGTGGAGTATACTATAAGCAAGCTATGCCAAGTCATGTACTTTTCACACACAAAATTATATTGTATCAAATTTAAATTTGTTACAACTGCCATGTACATTAAACCAGTGATAACGAAAATGTAACTCTATATCTGATCTAGTGAAACAGCAACCAACATTAGCTCCCAGCCACATGAAGACAATCTCCAGTGCCATTATCGGTGTCAGCTAAACCTCAGCCAGTCTGTCTTCTCCGGCATTTTTAAGTAAATATGTGATTATCTCAGTTAAGAAATCTTGAAGAAAGTCTCTGTGATGAGGCAATTTTGTTGCTCACTCTCAGTGCCCTGCATTTGCTGTACTTAAAATAGACACTTGTACCAATGTCCTTTCTATTACCCGAAGGGGAAAAAAAAAAATCACATACACACCAGTCCTTTTTCTTTCAGCTCACAGAGAAGCAACTTGATCCAACCAGTGTTGAAACCTGAGTAGGTCACTGTACACCACGATAAAATTCCCTAATCCCTGAGCCAAATCTCCCTAAGGGGGGCCTCCTCCTGATCCTCCACTTCCCAGGCTGACTTTTCCATTCAGCTCTCTCCTCTTTCCCCTTTTCATTTCCCCTACCTTCAAGCCTTGATATGTGATCCAAGGTGGGGGCTCGGGTTTCCGTTTTTACAGCTTAGGCCACGCTAGCTGTATACATTCCTTTCTTTCTGTCGGGCAGTGATTACTTACCAGGGCTTAGTTTACACTGGTCCAGATGAAAGCTGTACAGATGAAGGCAAACACAGCCAGGCAGCTCCAGCGGCACCGATATGAAGCTGCACAAGGCCACATTGTGTTCTCGGTGACATTTTGTTGCACACATTTTTATACAGGGCAACCAACTTCTTATATTACTCTCTACTTCAGGTTGAGGGAGCTGGGAGGGGGTAATGATACCATAAGGTTTGGGGAGGAGTTTGTTAATGAGGTTATTAATATTAAAAGCAAAAAAATTAATGAGTTCGAAATAACCCTGCCACCTTTTGACTTCGAGAAACTAATTTTTACATGAGGACTTTTGGTACTATTATATTAGAAAAATGCCTACTAAACAAGTACATTAGACTCACTGGCACAGTGTGCATGGATATGACTGAAAATTTCTGTCAGGGGTCTCTCACATTGTTCCAAACCAGAGAGAAAACACCAATCCTACAGGCAATTGAATTATTTGTTGCATAAAGCTTCTTATTTAATTCTACTCTAGATGGAAATGATGAGAACTAAAATTTCAAATAGTAGATTGTGATTTGGAAGAAAAATAACATTTTAGAAAGAGGAAATTCTGTGCACCAGTATTAATTCTATAGTTAGTCCTGCCGCACTGGCTGAAAATTGTGTAATTTTTCCCCTTCACACAATGTTGTTTTTGTTTCTTCCTCACCAGTTCAGACAAACATCTGTTATACTGTAGAAGGACAACTATCTCCCAAACCACGGAGAGCGCCTGCAGCCAAAGTCAACAACGTGAGCCCCAAGCATTGAGCACAGTCAGCCTTTATATCCAACCGGGATAACATTTCACATGTTTTGATTAAAATTAGCTAATTTGTAATTCTAGAACCTACGAAACTTAAAAGCTGCCATCCATATAGATCACATTAGGCAGCCAGTTTGAAAGGGCCAGATCACGCTGTGATTTTTCTAGTGGTCTTCACCTCTCTCCCCTTCCCCCACCCTCAATTTGAAATGAAATGGAAAAGTAATGTGGAAATGCAGGACAAGAGGGAAGGTTAAGAGAGGAAGAACGGTTATTGTAAACTGTTTGAATTCCATCCCATTGAAAGAAAATAACTTCTTCTACTGGTCTTTAAAAAAAAAAACAACAACTGTCTATCATTGGAATCAATGGGGTTTCCATCAAGAAATAGCATTGATTTCCAAGGCAAATCTTCCTTTACTCTCCGTTGGACTGATGCTGCACCTTCTGTTTCCAGGCACTAAGTTCCTCATCCAGAAATAAAAACCCCAATTCCAAAATGTAGATTGCTACTAACATTTCTTGGAGGAAGGTAAAGCTAAGCGTATACACCTAGGTACACATACATAAGGATGTATACCTACCTATATGCCCCCTTCTAAGCGTGGCCTTCATACAAGGCACTCTCACAGAATATGCTTGTTCTGATCAAGAAAAGGTCAAAACGCTATAAATTTGTTGCATACTATTTCCATTCAGTTTTTCTTCTAAATTACAAACTTAACCAAACCTGACCAAGTCACCTGGCAGTATTAAGGATTCTATGCAGAAGACAACACAATGCAAATCTGCCACTGTTTTGTAACACACAAAAAGAAAAAAAAATAAATTTTTTTTTAGAAATTCAGAGAGACTCGTGAAATCAACAGAGAATAAAACTCTCGCCCAGGCAAAAGCCGCAACTTCATGGAAAATAAGGGAGTGGGGGCGACGAGGGGGGTCCGGAGCTGAGCGGCTGAGCGGTGTTCTTGTGCAATCGCTCTAACGCGAACAGCTGGAGCGCCAGGCTGCTGCGCTCGCCACCTCTGGGGCACCGCTGGCCTGGCGGGGAGCCCGGCCTCGCCGAGAGGACTCCGGGCTGGCCTTCCCGAACAATGGGCAGGCGCCCTGCGAAGGCCGCCCCTCAGACAGCTATCTCTCAGCGGGGCTTGCCGGGGTCTGCTGAACTGGGAAGCGAGGCATGCAGAGGCGAGCGGGAGGCGGAGGAAGCCGATGGAGAGGAGCGGGCGGGGACGGGCGAGGCGAGGCGAGCCGGCGGTCAGCACCGTACCCAGACCCGCGCCGCTCCCGCCGCACTCGCCCGGCACTGACAGCCTCCTCTCACCGTCGCAGCCGACTGATTACTTGGGGGAAGCGAGACCGCGTAGCAGGGGGATGAACTGGGTAGAGGGGTGGAATCGAGCGCTCCGCTCCCGGGGTGCCTCGGCCGGGCGGCTCCTAAGTTTGGAGGGATCCGAAGGATGATTCCCGACGAAGGGGGCGAAACTACACGGCCCACTAGCAAAGCGTCTTCACCGTGCCCACCCGCCTCTTGGGCCCCCGGTACCCTCCCCCTGAAACGCGCCTGTGCCAACCTGGGGCTTGTAGGATTAAACAGTATGTGGTCTCCCTCCCCAATCAAATCTGAGGTTGGCAAATTTCGGGGATGCAGCCTGCGAGTTGGCCTCGGCTTTGCACCTGGAGGAGGAGCTGAGACGTTCTGGGCATCCTACAGAAACTGACCAGCGCGCCCCTGTACCCCCCAAATCCATACAGCGGCCCAAAGGGAGCGGGCGAAAGAAAGAGCTCCGTCTCCCCAGCCCCCGAGGTCCAAAAATACCTTCATTTCCTCATTGATCTCCCTTTTCACTGGGTGAGCCGGTTTCCTGCTCCTTTTATTTTCCGGAGGTCTCCCTTCTTTCTCCATTTCTGCCATGTTTTTGTGTCTGGTTTCTGTGGAGATGAAATGGCTGCTGCCGCCGCCGGCGGTGGTGGTGGTGGCGGTGGCGGCGGTGGTGGAGGTGGTGCTGATGGTGGCAAAGCTGGCGGAGGTAGCGGTGCTGGCGGGGCCGGGGCTGGGGGGCGGGGAAGGCAGGCGCCGGAGAAGCGGGGTCTCTTCTAGCGGCGGAGGACGTCAGTGGCTGTCACAGGGAAAGGTAGCTCGGGGAGTCTCGGGGATGCCGCTGCCGCCG